CGGCTGCTTCCGCTGGGAAAGCCTTCTGAGCCCCGCGCCGGGGCTCTTCCCACTCTCCAGTCGCCCTCTCCTCGCGGCTGGCCGACAACCCCGCTGGCCCAGCCCTAAGTCAGTTACTGCGCGACTGATGATCGTTTTTCAGTGCTTGCGCAGACTTAAAAGCCCATCGAGGACGCCGTGCTGTATTATTTTGTAAATATTTCCTTATTCCCGCGGCGAGTTCCGAAATATCGGGAACACTGAAGCATTTAAGAATTTCTAAGTAAATTTTAGTGGCCTTCCTTTACCAATGGGTAATGACGAATTTTTTTTCGAGTCTCAGAACAGACGTATATTGACAACAATATACTTAAGAGTATGATGCTTGAAAATTCTTATATGACAGTGGAGGTTTGAATATATATATTTGTTTTGTTTCTATAATCATAGGATAATAAAATCAAAGATTCTAAAGATGGAAAACAGTTCAGGAATATATGACAACCCCTTTGGTTTACAGATTTTTTTTTTTAAAGCGAGCCATCTGGAGTTCTACTGGAGGTAGAACGTACATTTTTCTGACTGACTCGATACTATTACGTGACAGATGTAACATGACTCAATCGCTCACTGAAATAAAGTGCATACTATATATGTTAAATGATTCTCATATCCAAGTTGGTTTTTGTTGTTTTGTTTGTGTGTTTATTTTTAATTTGATTAGGTACCAGGATGGGAAAATTAGAACTCACATTTGAGTGCCTACTATACGTGGCATGTGCTAGGAAATCTCATAACCCTAATCTTGTATAATCCTTACCGTTATCTTGTAAGGTAAGTAATAGCCCCATTTTAAAAATAAGGAAGATGAATCACCAAGAGTAAATGATTTTAACGATCATTTTTACCTCAAGGGCAGCGGATTCCACTAGGTATATTGGATTTCCAAAGGCTACTTTTTCTAGGATCAACTAGCATTAAGTAGGTGACTATGCTTTCTGAAGGTCTAATGTTTCCACCACTTGGTCCGAACGAAAAAGTAGTCTCGATATAATGATGGTTTATGCAGAAGAAATGTTTTGATTGTTTTTGAGCTCTGCCGCTTCAAGATGTAAAGGTGTCAAACGTCATATGCTACATTGATTCTTAATATTGTAAAAGTTAAATGAAAGAAAATCTCACTTAAAATAGTTCTCTGTAATGTATCTGGTGACAGTATAGATTTCTTTTGGGCCCATAACTGAAATGTATGAATTTTTTACCTAATTTTAATCTTGAAAAAAATTGTGTGACTGATAAGATTCCAGGTCTCTAGCTGATAGTGAATAGAAATACTTATTTGCCTACTACTGATTGATCCAAAGAGTAAATGCTGTAAGAACTACCCCAGCAAGTACCACACAGATTTAGATCAAGTCTACTAGTTTTTAAATTCCAGGGATTGTCAGCACTTAAAATATGTCTAAGGCATGAGTGGAAGGGAAGGGAGAGTGGGAGGCAGAAAAGAAGACATGGCAGATCATGAGAAAAACGTAGAATCCTTTCAACATTTGTTATATTCAGATCCTTCTGAACAGCTAACAGACACTGGAATATGGAAGTAATCCAGTAGTCAGTAGTTAAGAACAATGGTCAGATGATTCCAGATTGTATGTTTCAAGCACAATTTTCCTCTTCATTAATACAGTGTGTGTTAATATTGGCAAACGTATATCCTAAAACTTGAATAGCCCGCATATGTCTGTCTAAATTACTTACTACTCTATTGTTAAACATATTCTAAAGGACATTGTATCTGAAAATAACCCTACCTCTGGAAGTAAGAGCAGCAATGCTGAAAAAAGTAAGTGGTAAATTTTAATTGGTGCCAGAATATTCTTTTGCTCCTAGTTCTTTCATATCCTTTCCACATTACTCAGATTCATACAATGTAGTGTTGCAACTAGGAACCATTTAAAAGTTGTGAGTAGTTTTTTTCCAAAATTTGGAGGAGAAGCACAGTGTTTTAGCATGTTTACAGATGATACGCTTTTCTCTTAAGGCTTAATCATATAAACTGTTTTATTTCCATAATACAATTAATGTTAATACATTTTGCCCTTAAGTTTTCCTTATAGAAAGTATCTGCACAAGTCTGCTTAACTGTGTATTTCTGTTTTAATAATGACTTAAAGGGAAGAAGAATCAATTTAGAAAATGAGAAGATTTGGAGACTTACAGTACTGGATATTAAAACATACTATGATACTGTAATAATTAAGTCAGTGGTCTTGATGCTAGTTGAGATGGTATGATGAAATGGAAAAGAAACTACATAAACAGCCAAGCATGTAAGACTATTTTGTATATAAAAAGTAACATTTCAATTCTAGAAAAACAAGTGTTTATTCAATAAATGATCCTGAGACAGTTGGAACATAGTGATAGTGGAGTTTTGGGATTCACAAATTAAGCGTACAGAAATTAAGCTGTACAATACCAGCAGAAAATATGTGATACTTGTAATATCTTGAGTTGGGAATAGAAAAATGAATTGGGAAAAAAACGATAAGGGAAAAATATTGGTAGATCAAAGTTCTAAAAAATTAAAATCTGTGCTTTCTAAACACCATAAAATGAGAAGGTAGACTGGGGAAGGTATTTGCAACGTATATGATAGACAAAGGTTCTGTAAAAATAAAGCAATGGCTCTTGAAAAATGAGCAATTGATATGCACAAGCAATTTACAAAAGAAGAAATAGGAATGAAATAGGAATCAAAGAAATCCAGCTGAAAAAATGAAATTTCTCTTCTCCAGTTTGCAGATATTACAAAGAATTTTTGTGAAGAGCATGGGGAAGTGAATTATTCATGCACTGGTCATGGGAGCACAGATTTGTGTAACCTTTTTTGAAGAGAAATTTAGCAATGTGTATTTAAAGCCGTGTATTTCTTTAACTTAGTAGTTCCCCATCATATATTCATAGTTGGTCACACATACACCAACCATGTTATGTGGAAGACATGTATTTGTAGATGCCCAGAATTTGAATCTCCTTCCTCTCGTAGTATCCCCATTGAGTGAATCATGTTGGTGTATTTATTTTAGTTCTCTGAGTACCTTCCATCTACCTTGATAAAATCTATATTCTATAAAGGTAGAGATTTTGTTTTCCTGTTGTGTCCCCAGTGTCTAGTATTGGGCATAGTTCATAGTAGGTGCTCAATAGAAAAGAACCTAAGTGCCAGGTACTTTTCCAGCCTCCCTTGCAGCTAGATTGTGAGCAAGTAGCTTGGATGCTGTTGGTTAAATTATCTGTGCTAGATTTGGACTCAGGAATAAAGATGTAAAAATTAGGACCTGAAGAGGATTCTTACCCAGCAGTAGGATTTTAGGAGGATAAGGTACCCGGCAGAAAAGGCAGTGCTACAAGCTATAGTGTGATGCTTACCAGTGCCTGCAGCAGTTAGCACACAAGACCTATTCTCAAGAAGGACTTAGACCTTGCTCCTCTTTACATAGATCGGAGGCTGGTTCTCCAGCTTTCCTGATGATTCTGTGAGCTGCCCAGTGTTCATTTCTTAAAATTTTAATTTTAAAATTTCAAATGTATGTACAAAAGAATATGTAAAATAACTGTCACGTTTAACTTCCAGATTAAGAAATCAGCTAGAATCAGTACCTTAGAAGCTTCCTGTTTATCCTTCACTGATTACGTTGTTCCTCCCACCCTCACAGGGTACCACTATTTTGATTTCTTGTTAATCACTATTTTCTTTATAGTTTTGCCACACATGCATCTGTTTCTGAACAATATATTATTTGGTTTTTGAATTATAGCATGTGTTTCTTTCATGACTTAATTCTTTTAGTTAACATTGTGTTTTTTAGATTCAGACATTGCTTGTATTCAGCTGGTATGCACTCAGATGGCTGTACCTGTGTTTACTTTGATGTTCATTCTGCTTGGTCAGTTTCTGTGCTGCCCGGTTATTAAATATTTTGAAAATCATCCCTAGATTCATTCATTCTATGTGTGTCCTGTATAATATAATAGTCTATTGTGTGAATTTAGTGTTATTTCTTATCTGTTCCACTATTGATGAATATTTGAATGTTTCAGGGGGTGTTTTTGGAATTGTAATCCGTGCTACATTGAGCATTCTTGGAACATGTCTCCTATTATACATGCAGAAGGGCATGTACACTCTCCAGTACACATACCAAGGAATGGACTGCTGGGTCTTGGTACACACAACTCCAGGTTTACTTGGAAATGTCAGTGTTGCCAAAATGTTTGTATCAATTTACACTCCCACCAGCCTCCTCCTTGCTCCACATCCTTGACAACATTTGATACCATCTGGCCTTAAATTTTTTGCCAACCCAGTGAGTGTGAGATGGTATTATTTCACTGTGGTTTTTGTTTGCTTTCCTTGATTTCTAATAAAATTGAGTGTCTTTTGATAGCTTTATGGACTATTAGTGTTTCCTTTTCTGCAAATATGCTGGTTTATGTCTTTTCCTCATTTGTTTGTTGAGTTGTCTATTTATTACTGACTTACAGAAATTCTTTATATAGTTGTATGAGTTAAATATGTCTTCTCAGTTTGTAGTTTATCTTTGTACTTTCTTGATGATTGTCTTTTGTTCGACAGGTCTTAGTTTTTCCCCCTCCTTTTTCAGTTTTATCAGGTAGGATTATTACAGTCTGATTGCACATACACATTATATTGCATGTGAATACATATATACAGTATACTGCACATTTTTGTAGTTTACATATATGTACTAATTATTGCTTCTAAGAACAGGTTAGATCTTTAGCTTTTTAAACATACATAGTTATCAAAGAACAGGTCTTAGTTTTGATTTCAGTCTTTTCCTTGATGTTTTGTGCTTCCTGCATCTTAAGAAATCTTTCCTAATGTGGAGATCATAAAGTCTCCTATATTGTCTTCTAAATAATTTTCAGTTTTGCCTTCAATGTTTTAATTTTTATTTTTAATCTAAAATTTGTTGTTTGGTTGGTTTAAGGTAGGGATCCAATTTCATTGTATTTTCAATATGAATAACCAGTTGTTCTTGTGTCATATTAAATAGTCCCCCCTCTTTCCCTGCTAACATGCAAACTCAGTCTGCCACACATTGAAGTTTTCATGTATGTGTGATCTGTTTCTTGGTTCTTTATTCTGTCCTGTTGGTCTGTTTGTATATTCTTGTGACAGAACCACAATATCTAAATGACAGCAGCTTTACCAGAAGTCTAAATGTTGGGTGGGGAAAGCGTCATCCCCATTCTTGTTCTTCAAGAATACTGTTTAGGGCTGTTTGTTCTTTTATATACTTATTCTTTACTATTTTTAATTTAGAGTAAAATACATAAAACAATTTGCCATTTTAACCAGGTTAGTATACAATCTGGTGGCATTAATTACATTCACAATGGTGTACAATGTTACCACTGTCTAGTTCCATAACTCTTTATTACTCCAAACAGAAACTCTGTACCTGTTATGCAGTAACTCTCCCTCCCTGCTTCCCACAGGGCACCCCTTCTACCCCAACCCCCAGTCCCCCACCCCCATCCTCCACCCCCACACCATGCCTGGTAACTTCTAATATTTCTGTCTTTATGAATTTGCCTTTTTCTAGAGGTTTCATATAAATGGAATGTTTGTCTTTTTGAGTCTGGCTTATTTTACTTAGCATGATGTTTTCAAGCTTCATCTATGTTGCAGTATGTATTAACACTTCATTCTTTTTTAAGGTGAATAAGATTACATTGTATGCATATACCACATTTTGTTTATCCATTCATCTGTTGTTGGGACACTTGGGTTATTGGCACCTTGTGTATTGTGAATAATGCAGATATGAAGATTGGTATCTGAGCCCCTATTTTCAATTCTATTGGGTACCTAGGAGTGAAATTGCTGGGTCATATGGCTATTCTACATTGAACTTCCAGAGGAATAGCCAAATTGTTTTCTACAGTGCTTCCTTATTTGTATAAACTTTAGAATCAGACTGTCAAATAAACTACCCTATGGGGATTTTATGTTGTTCTACTCAATCTTTAGATCATTAAAGGGTGATAGACATGAAACTGAGACTTCAAATCCAAGTATATGGTATATCTCTCTATTAAGGACTTTGTGATGTCTTTCAATAAAGTTTTTTAGTCTCTTCTTAGGAATCTTGTACATGTTTTGTTGAGTTTATTCTTAGGTTGTTTGTATTTTTATTGTTAATTTTTTAACAATAAAATTTCTTGATTGTTGCTAGTGTTTTGAAATACAGTTGACTTTTGAATATTTTTGATTATGGTAAGCTTTCTCAACTTACATTAATTCTCATAATTTATCTGTTAATTATCTTTTTTATTTTCTATGTAGTCACATAATCTAAAAGTGATGACAGTTTTGTTTCTTCCATCTTAATCTTTATTCCTTTTTCTTTCCTTTTCTTTACTATACTGGTGGACCTAAAGTACAGTGTTAAACAGAAACCTTTTTTCTTTTTCCTTGCTTCTAATCTCAGAGGGATTGTTTTCAACTATTAACCATTAAGTTTGATATTTGCTTTAGGGTTCTACTTGTTTATTTGTAGATGGCCTTTTTCAAATTAGGGATGTTCCCTTCTATCCAGTTTTCACTGAATGAATGTTGAATTTTGGAGAGTGACTTTTTTGTGTGTCATACAGAGCTAATCATATTTTTTCTCCTTTAATCTCTTAATGTGATGATTTATATAAGTAATTTTGTAATATTAAACCAGTGTTCCATTCCTTGGATTAAGCTCAAGTTAGTGTAATACTTTTTTTTTTAATACATCAGTAGATCCTGTTTGCTAATTAGCTTTAAAGGCATTTTACATCTTTGCATAAGTGGATTTGGTAGTCTTCCTTCTTTTATGTCCTGGAATAGATTTTTTTTGAAGATTGAATTACTTGTTCTTTGAATGTTTAGAAAAACTCATCTGTACAGCCATCTGGGCCCGGTACTTTGCGGGGGAGGTTTTAGACCTCCAATTCAATCTCTTTAAAGTTACGGGATTATTCTTATTTCCCTCACTGCCACCTCCAGCCCCAGGAGTCTGTCCATTTCATTTAGGTTTTAAAGTTCATTGGCATAAACTCAAATTGCTCATAAAACTATTTTAATCTCTGTAGTAACTATAGATAAGGCCCCTTTTCCATTCCTTGAAATTGTCAAGTGATGCTTCCCTTCCTTCCTCGCCCCCATGAGTAATCTTGACAGATGTTTTGTAGCCTTCAGAAACACTAGCTTTTGGTTTACTTGATTCTCTCTATCGTATTTTTTTTCCATTAATATCTATTCCTTTTTATTTCCTCCTACACTTTATGGGTTTATTGTGCTGTCACTTCTTGAACTTCTGAAGTTGGATGCTCAATTCATTCTTTCTGAGACTTAAGACTATGTTTTTGGGTGTATATGAATTTAGAATTCTTATACCTTTCCAGTTAATCAAACACTTCATGATTTTGTAATGATCCTCTTTATCTGTAGTAATGTTATTTGCCTTGAAATCTATTTTGCCAGTGATAATACAGCTACACTAGCTTTATTTGGCTAGTATTTGCATGGCATATCTTTTCCCACTCTCTGATGGAAATTTTGTGTATCTGTATATTTTAGATATGTGTCTTATAACCTGAAAAAAATTGGATCTTATTTTTATCCAGTCTGACTTTATCTGGAGAGTTCAGCTTATTTCTTCTTACTGTAATTCTGAAATATTTTTTCTTAAAATGTGTTTTATGTTTGCTGCTCTCCATTTCTCCTCCTCCTCTTTCATTAACTTTCACATTTTGAGGATTGTTTGAGGAGTTTTCTGTTTCTTTCCATTTTTTTCTTTGTATAGAAATTAGATGATTTATTTCTAGTCATCTGGTGGCTACTCTATCTCAGCATGAATCTTTCACAGAATTCAAAGTTAATGATTTTACTTCTTTCCATAGGGTTCAAGTACTTTAGGAACTTTTAAGTCTGATCATCCTTTCCCCCTAGTTAGTCCTATCCTGTTCTCCCCACCTCAAATTAGGCATCAAAAAAAGGCTAGCCATATTTTTTATATGTTTAAATTTACGCACACACTTTACCAGTATCTTGTCGTAATATTGCTTGTTGCATTTCAGATGTTTAATTTTGATCATTTTTCTTTTGCACTACATCTTTTAGAATTTCTTTAAGGGGTTGTCTGTTATTGGCCAGCTGTCTCAGCTTTTGTTTGAAAATTTCTTTCCTTGATTCTTAAAAGGTCATGTCACTTGGTATAGAATTCCAGGTGGACAGCTACTATCATTAAGCACATTGGCTAATTTTATTTAGTCTTGCGTTGTAGCTAATGAGAAGTCAGTCATTAGTTTTCATTCATTTGAAGGTGATCTGTCTTTTCTCCAGCAGTTTTAAAGAATGTATCTTTTTCTTTGGTATATAGTTTTATTATGATGTATGTAGGTATGGATTTCTATTTATTTATCCTGCTTTGGAACTTGTTAGGACTTCCTAGATCTCAGGATTGATGACTTCCAACAATCTTGCAAAACTCTCAGGCTTTGTCTCTTCAAATACTGCCTCACCCTCGTTCTCTCTATTACACCCTAGTGTGATTCTGGTTAGACTTAGTTCTCTCTCCTCCTCCATGTCTCTGAACTTCTTTTTTATATATTCCATCTCTCTGGGCTGTGTTTCTGAATGAATTAGTTCACTAATTCTCTTTTTTAGGGTGACCTTGACAAGAGCAATTTTAGTGAAATGAATCTGGGTTGATTAGTCTGGATTAGTGAGGTAGTGAGAGGTGAAGTAATGGAGACTTCCACTACAGTTAACTCAGTATGGAAGTTTTGTTGTGAAGGGCACAGAAAATAAGAGAAGGGGTTATGGAAGAGTTTTTTTGTTTTTAAAAAGATGAGTAACATCAAGGCATGTTTAGGTACTGATAAGAATGATCTAGTAGAGAAGGAAAAACGGATGGTGGAGGAAAGAAGGGATAATTTAGGAGTAAAATTGCTGAGAAAGTAAGAAGGAACTAGGTCCAGATTTTTCAGTTCTATGCTTCATTTGTGTTTTTGCAATACCCCTTTTAAAGATTAGTGAAAGGGACTTTTCTTTTCATGAGATGAGCATGCATTCAGTTTAACAGGTAATATTGATGTACCCATTCACTCACTCAATCCACAAATATATGCCTTTTATGTGCAAGTCACTATGCTAGATTCTGGGAACAGAATTACAACAAAATAAACACTATCTATGCACTCATAAAGCATATACCATGGTGGTGGTGGTAGCTGGGTATCAGACTAAGGACTTGGAAGGGGAAGGACAGGGCTTATGAGAGTATTTAACAGGGACCTTAATCCCTTAACCTTATTCTGGGAGATTAGAGAAGTACAATTTAAAGTGATTCCCAAAGAAAGAGTAATTAGCCAGACAGATACCGGGAGAGCATTCCAAGAAGAGAGAAGAGCATAGATGAAGGCCTTACTGCAGCAAGGAACTTTCATGGGTTTAGAAACTGAAAGAAGACAGGAGCATAATGAGTGAAAGGCAAGAACTTTGGAGGGATAACAGGTACGGTATAGCCCAGAATCATAAGGATTGTAGACTATCCTGAGAGCAATAGGGAAGCATTGAAGGGACCTAAGCAGAATAGTGACAAAATCCTTTTCCAGACTATTTCTGTTGTAAAAGGTGTGTGCATGAGGCTTCTAGAGCCTGATGCCATTAAACCTTAGAATCATACAATTAACTTCCCTTCTTAAAATTATTTATTTACTTAGCCATCGAATATGATTTCCTCAGTCAGACATGAGTGGAAGTTTCCTTAGAATTAATAGAATGGTTTTCTGCAGTGTGTGTGTGAGAGAGAAAGAGTGGGGAAAAAGAGAGATACAGACACAGATGGACCTGGTAGTCAATATACTATTTTAAAAATTAAACTAATATAGCAGTGAGAAAATTACTTAAATTTTCTTAGCATGTTAATAATTTATGCATTATACACTCTTAGAAATTCTTAAACTGACATCTTTTTTTTTAAACAGGGGGAGGTAATTAGCTTTAATTAATTAATTTATTTTAATGGCGGTACTGGGGATTGAACCCAGGACCTCGTGCATGCTAGGCATGTGTTCTACCACTGAGCTACACCCTCCCCCATGTCTTATTTTTTTTTTAATACCTTTACTGTGGTACTTAAACTGATATATTTTAAAACTAGCTATTTTTGTGTTATTTTATAGATTCTAAGTAATCACGACAGATTTGTGTAAGCATTTATTTTAACCCCTAAGTTTTTAAACATAAAGAAAGTTGTTATTCTATTCTTATTTCTCTTTTCATCATAAATGTCAAAATGTACTATTCTATTTATGTTTTCAGCTTCTTCAGAAATTATTCCGATTCCTAGTTGTCATTTTGACTAGCTAAATTTATCTCGATCCTTAGATTCTATATTTAATGAACACTATGCCTTGGACATAGTAGGCACTCAAAAAATATATTCAGTGAGTCAAGGTATATGACACAGTAGTCTTAATTATACTTCATAAAAATTTCCTTTCTTAATGCCTTCCCTTCACCCCAAACTTACTGCCCTTTTCTGACATTCCTTTTCTTCCTGGAGTCATAGTCTTCGATATTCTGCTCTAATATTATTATTTTGCTATTTTTCCTTACTTGAAATCCCTTCCTCAGGTTTAACTGCCCTGAGTCTTCTTGAGACTCATGTACTTGCTATTTTGAATTCTAAACCCTTATTGTTTGCCCACTTCCTCTTGGAAAATGTCTCTCTTACCCTTCTCTTTTGATCTACCTTAATTTCTATTGAAAAAAACGTCTTTGATGCTGTGGATGGTTTTTTGTTTTGTACTATTTTCATTGCAGTTTTCCCATCCTGAGGAACTATTTAGTTGTTGCTTGTAATTAATAAACATAATTTTATGTATTCTATGTTTTTAGTCTATTGAAGACAATGAAGTGTATTTGCCTAATGATGAGATTTGGACCTATGATATTGATAGTGGGTTGTGGTAAGTAATTTTAAATTGCAGAATGTCTGATCTAAATATCTTTTATAAATGTTTTCATAGACTACAGGGAATTTGAGACCATACTAAGAACATACTACAACATTGTACTCTCTCTCTTTTCTTGTCTTTCAATGCTTTAATCTCTCTGGCTCTTCCTTTCCCCAGCTCCCTTTGTCTCTCCATTGTTTGTCCTTTTACCATTCCTCTCAAGGCTAAGGCTGTCTCTAAAGACTTTGTTCTACTAACTGATTCCCAGTTCTGATGAGACATGAAGACTCTGTGATTTTTTTTTCCCAGTAGGTTGAAAAATCTTTACCGTGGGTCTTCTTACAGTTTTTACAGTATTGGCTGCTATTACCTTTTAATTGTAATTGCCAGTGACAACTTTCATGGAAAAAGTACTCATGGAGCTCAAAGGGAATTATAATTTGCCTTCTTGGAGAGTTACGGAATTCCACGTTATTCTTGCTGCAGGACCATGCACCTCATGGAAGGAGAGCTCCCTACCTCCATGTCAGGAAGCTGCGGTGCCTGCATTAATGGAAAGCTGTACGTTTTTGGAGGATATGATGACAAAGGATACAGCAATCGAGTAATTTTTTTTTTCAATTCAGGAGTGCAGAAAAATGTAATGTTTAATGTATCACTTCATCTCACAAGTTTACAAATACTTTAATAAGAAGACATCTGTACAAAAGCTTGAGTTTATGATGAAAAAGTTTTCAAGATAGAGAAATGCAGCAGTTGTGCCCTCTCCTCTGTCGTGTCTTTCTACTTCAGACCGAGCTACACACTTAGCTGATATCCATAGGGCAAGAATGTGATGGAGAAAGATCCATTTCAGTATGTTTTATAAATTATTTTTGCTTCTAAAAGATGGTCTCATTTTCATTAACTCTACAATTTAAAACTTTTTACCTTTTAATTAGAAAAAAAGTAATATTATTAATTTTTGGATCACATATCCCTCTGACATATATTTAATTTTCCGATGCCCTGTCTGCTAATGGTGTTCTCCTCTTTTAAAAGCTTTATTTTGTTAATTTGAGAGCAAGAGATGGAACCTACGTTTGGGAAAAAATCACCAATTTTGAAGGTCAGCCACCCACACCACGTGATAAACTTTCCTGCTGGGTGTATGAAGACAGGTAATGCATCAAAATCATCTCATTAACTGCACTCAGGGAAAGATGATAGCTTGTGACCAAAATTGAGAAAGCTTGAAAAATCTGAATTTTTTTCAAGATATAGTTACAAACTTGTTTTGACACTGGTGATAAGGGCAGTTTTGAACCCTGGATAAGAGCCATGTCATAAAAATAAACATGGTGGAAGCAACCATTTGGTTTTTTGTTAAATTACTCTACTATTTAATTTAATTTTCTGAATAGTTAATATAGTCACATGGTTAAAAAATCAAAACCATATTAAAAAGTACACAATGAAAAGTCTGGCTCCCACTCCTGTCCCCATCACCCTATTCCCACCCCACACAAGCACAAATAGCTACTTTTACTAATATCTTTTATATTCTTACAGCAGTGGTTCCCAAATTTGTCTGCCATAGGAATAATCTGGGGATCTTTTGAAAGCTCTGGGGCCCAGGTGATACCCAGACTAATTAAATTACAGTCACTGGGGATATGACTTTTTAAAGCTTCTTGGGTGATTCCAAGATGCAGGCAAGTATGGGAACAGCTTCCATCAGTGTTACTTTATGCAGATAGAAGCAAATACATTCAAACATATGGGGGGATGGATGTTTATACATATTGCTCTTTTCTGCCTGCTCCTTACACAAATGTTGGCACACTCTGTACATTGTTCTGCATCCTGCCGATTCTTTTACTCAGCGGTATACCTTGGAGAACTTTCATCTTTCTGTATCTTTAGTTAGAAAGCTTATTTGTTTTTTGTTTGTTTGTCTTTACAGCTGCATAGCATTCTCCTGTGTGGGTATACCATGGTTTATTTAACCTTTCCCCTATAGATGAAACAACATTTGGATTATTTCCATTACTTTGCTATTACAAACTATGCTTTAATGAATATCTTTATGTGTATATACATATGATTGCAGACCTATTTGTTGAATAAAATTTCAGAATTTTATTTCTGGGTCAAAGGGTAATACTATATAGTTGTGATAACTGTTTGCTAGGGCTGCTGTGACAGAGTTCTATAAACTGAGTGACTTAAACAACAGAAATGTATTGGCTCATGGTTCTGGAGGCTTGAAGTCTAAGATCAAGGTGTCAACAGGGTTGGTTCATTCTCTGGGTTTTGAGGAAGAATCTCTTTCCTGCCTCTTCCCTAGCTTCTGGTGATCTGTTGGCCATCTTTAATATGGAGAAGCATCACTCTGATCTGTGCCTTTATAGTCACTTAACATCCTCTCTGTGTGTGCTTGTCTGTCTCCAGATTTTCCCTTTTTGTAAGAACACAAGAACTGCCCTTTTGTAAGAAGTCATATTGGATGAGGGCCTACCCTAATGACTTCATTCTCACTTGAATGCCTCTATAAAGATCCTGTCTCTAAGGTCACCTCCTAAGACATGGGATTAGACTTCAACATACGCTTTTGGGGGAGGGGGGTGCGATTCAATCCATAACATTAGATTTTGCCAACTTTTCCTCCAAAAATTGTGCCATTTTACATCATCAACAGTGGAGTGCCTTTTTCTCCACAGGCTTCCCAAGAGTTTGCTGAGAAATTTGTTTTTCTGTTTGCCAAATTGATAGGTGAGGCATGATGTCTTAGTCTTATTTGAGATTTCGTATGTTTATGGGCAATTTTTTTTTCTTTTTCTTTGAACTGAGAAAAATATCCTTTGCTAATTATTTTGTTTGATTGTTGGCATTTACAACCTTAATTTCTGGGAGTTATTTATGTATAAAGAGATTAGTGTTTGACTGTGATATGATATGAAAACATTTTTCCCGGGTTGTCAATTTGTCTTTTGACTTTACTTTAAATGTATTTTGCATGTATTAAACAGCTTTTTAAAACTGTTATTTAGGTAAATTTATCAGTAATTTCTTTTGTGCATTCTTGACTTTGAGTCAGTTTCAAAGGCTTTTTCCACTCCAAGATTATAAACTAATTCTCTTGTATTTTCTAGTACTTTGTCATTTTTAAAACCTGTAAATGGTATGAGATATGAACCCAAGTTTGTATTTTATTGTTTATTCTTAAAATTTTATAACCAGTGGTTTGTACCTCTGAATCCCCTTCACCTATTTCACCCGTCCCCCACCCCTCCCCTCTAGCAACCACTAGTTTGATCTCTGTATCTGCATTGTCATGTTTGTTCTTTGTTTTAATTTTTAGATTCTACACATAAGTGAAAACATACAGTATTTGTCTTTCTCTGACTTATTTCACTTAGCAAAATACCCTCCAGGTCCGTCCATGTTGTCAGGAATAGCAAAATTCTATTCTTTATTATGGCTGAGTCATATTCTATTGTATATTTATACCACATCTTCTTTATCCATTCATCTGTTGATGGACATTTAGGTTGCTTCCATATCTTGGCTATTATAAATAATTCTACAATGATGTTGAGGTATATATATCTTTTTGAAGAAGTGTTTTCGTTTTCTTTGGTTAAATACTCAGGAGTGGAATTACTGGTAATTCTGTTTTTAGGGAACCTCCATACTGTTTTCTGTAGTGGCTGTACTAATTTACATTCCCACCAACAGTACAGGAGGGTTCTCTTTTCTCCACATTCACACCAACAATTGTTATTTCTTGTCTTTGATTGTAGCCATTCTGACAGGTGTGAGGTGACATCTGATTGTGGTTTGGGTTTACATTTCCCTGATGATTAGTGATATTGAGCATCTTTTCATGTGTCTGTTGTCCATCTGTGTATGTTCTTTGGAAATATGTCTATTCAGATCCTCTCCCCATTTTTAAAATCAGGTTGTTTTTTATTGATATTGAGTTCTATGAGTTCTTTATAGATTTTGTATATTAACCCCTTACTGGATATATTATTTGCAAATAGCTTCTCCCATTTAGTCGGTAGCCTTTTGGAAAAGATGCTTCATATGATTTCAGTGTTCTTAAATTTATTGAGACTTGTTTTGTGGCATAGCATGTGATCTACCCTGAAGAATGGTCCATTTGCACTTAAAAAGAATGTATATGTTGCTGTGTGTGGTAAAATATGTATAACATAAAATGTGCCATTTTAACCATATTTAAGTGTACAATTTAATGGCATTAGTTGCATTCACAATGTTATGTGACCATCACTGTGATCAAATTTCAAAACTTTTTCATCACTTTAAATAAAAACGATATACCCACTAAGTAATCCCTCTCCATTACCCCTTCTCCTTTTCATGTGTTTTTGGCAGAAGACCTATCCTCTAATCTGCTTTTCATCCCCAGGAATTTACCTATTATGGATATTTCATATAAGTGGAATCATACAATATTTGTTCTTTGGTGTCTGGCTGATTTCACTTAAAATGTTTTCAAGATTTACTAGGTTATAGTATGTATCAGAACTTCATTCCCCTTTAAGGCTGAATAATATCCCATTGTTTGTATACATTACATTTTATCTCTCCATTCATCTGTTGATGAACACTTGGGTCGCATCTACTTTTTGGCTACTGTGAATAATGCTGCTGTGAATATTGGCTTACAAATCTTGTTTTAGTTACTGTTTTTAATTCTTTTGAATATGTACCTAAAAGTAGAATTGCTGGGTCATACGACAATTCTATGTTTAACTTTTTGAGGAGAACCAAACTGTTTACCACAGTAACTATGCCATTTTATATTCCACTGGCAATATATAAAGTTTCCAATATCTCCTTGCCAACTCTTGCTATTTTTGTTTGTTTGTTTGTTTTTTAAATAATAGCCATTGTAATGGGTGTGATGTGGTATCCATTGTAGTTCTGGTTTGTTTTTCCCCAGTGACTAATGACATTGACCATCTTTTCATGTGTTTTTGGCAGAAGACCTAAACAAGCAATTCTCCAAGGAAGACATACAAATGATCAAAAAGCACATGAAAAAATGCTCAATATCATGTGTTTTTTTGGCCATTTGTATATCTTCTTGGGGGAAATGTCTATTCTAGTTCTTTGCCCATTTTTATAAAAAATTGGATTGTTTTATCTTTTTATTATTGAGTTGTAGGAGTTTTTTATATATTCTGGATAGTAAACCCTTATCAGATATATGTAGTTTTCTTTTCTTGTTGTGTTTTTGTCTCGCATCAGTATCAGAATAATGCTAGGCTCATAGAATGAGTTAGGAAGTGTTCCCACCTCTTCAGTTTTTTGAAAAGTTTGAGAAGGGTTGGTATTAATTCTTTAAATATTTGATAGAATTTACCACTGAAGCCATCTGGTCCTGGGCTTTTCTTTGTTGGGAGATTTTTGGATTACTTATTTAATCTCCTTATTTCTTAGAGGTTTATTCAGATTTTCTATTTTTTCATGAGCCACTTTTGGTATTGTGTGTTTTTCCAGGAATTTTTCTGTTTCATCTAGATTATGGAGTCTGTTGGCATACAGTTTTTTATATAATAATTTTTATTTCTGTGATGTTAATAGAAATGTCCCCTCTGTCATTCCAAATTTTAGTAATTTGAGTTTTTCTCTACTTTTTTTTTTCAGTCATCCTAGCTAAAGGTTTGTCAGTTTTGTTGATATTTTCAAAGGCCCAACCTTTGGTTTCATTGTTTTTCTCTATTGTTTTTCTATTTCACCATCTTACTTATTTTCCCCTTAATTTTTATAGTTTCCTTCTGTTATCGATGGGTTTAGTTTGCTCTTCTCATTTCTTAATATGTACAGTTATGTTGTTGATTTGAGAGCTTTTTAAATTTGTAGGCATTTATGAGTCTCTCTGAGCACCACCTTCACTCTATTCCTTAGGTTTCATTTTATTGTGTTTTCATTTTCATTCATTTTAAGATAATTTCTAATTTCCCTTGTGATTATCCCACTCATTGAGTTCACAGACTTTTCTTTCTTTCAGCACTTTAAAGATTTTTATTACTTTGCCTTTATTATATCTCCATTTTTCTGGTGAGAAATTCACTCTCATTTGTGTTTGTGTTCCCCTATAAATATCTTTTATCTCTGTTTTTTCTTTCTCTGTTCTTTGCTTTTGTACCTCATTGATTTGATTAAAATGTGCCTACATGTAGTTTCCTTTATCTTTATCCAGCTTGGAGTTTGCTGAGTGTCTGGGGTTGGTGGGTTTATAGCTTTCATCAGTTTTAGGAAGTTCTCAGTAATTAACAAGTGCTTCTTCTTCCCATTTATTTGCCTCTTCTCCTTCTGGGACTCCTCTTATATACACATTAGACCACATGATATTGTTCCACAGAGCTTGGGCTTCCTGTTTCTCCCCGCATTCTTTTCTTCTCTGTGTTTTAATTTGGATACTTTTTTTTAACCTATTGGCTTGTCTTCTAGTTCACTGATCTTTTCCATTGCTGTTTCCAGTTTCCTGTTATGGCTATCTAATGACTTTCTTTATTTCTGACATCTTATTTTGCATTTTTAGCATTTTCATTTAGTTTGTTTTCATGGTTTCATGTCTCTGCCAGAATTACCCAGTTCTTCCTGCAAGTTGTCCACCTTTTGCAAACTGGTCTGTTAGCATTTTTACCATAGTTATTTTAAAGGCCATGTCTGATAATTCCAATATCTGGGGCACCTTGGGGTCAGCTTATATTGACTGTTTCCTCTCCTGATCATGGGTCACTTTTTTTAACTTTTCCTATATTTTGTAATTTTTTTCATCATTTGACAGACATTCTGTATGAAAGAACAGTAAAGATTGAAATAAATAATGTTTGTCTCCAGGAAAAGACATGCCCTTCCTTCCTTTTTCAGGCTGCTAGAATGGGAGTTAAATCAGTCTAATCTATAGTTAAGGTGTCTGGGCTTTGTTGCAGCTTTAGTTTGATTCAGTTTTACCACTGACTTTAAGTGTTCTGAGGCAGGATCAAGACTGTTCTTTGCTAGGGCCCCTTATTTGAGCATGAGAGAGTGTCTGGAGATTTTTAGCTGTGCTTCACAGCTGAGTTCCTACCTCTCAGAACTATGGGAGCTCTCTCCCTATTTTATAGCCTAGTTGGTCAGTCTTTGGGTTGCTAGAGAGTTTTCTTTACTCTCCAATCCCACTTTATTCTTTCTGTACCCTAGGAGATCTCGTTAAGCATTGTACCTCCTCCCCTGGCCTTTTGAAGGGAGCTGCCGCATCTGGTATAAGGGTTTGGCATGCTTCCAAAATGTTTCCTTTGACTCTCTTGCCCTGATCTCAGACGTTAGTAGTTGATAGCACAGATTGCCTCAAGGAGGTTTGCTGAGCTCTCTTCTGCTTCTAGCTTTTGGTGACTGACCCTGAGCCCTCTCTGAGGACTATGTGAAGGAGTCACTGAGTGGACTCTTAACTCCTTCTTTGCAGGAATTTCTTAAGATACTAATTTACCATGCCAGCCTTCATGTGGCTGTTAAAATTCTGGGTGGTTTCTTTTACAAGCCCTATCTGTGCTGGATTCTTCCTCCTCCTGCTATCACATGAGGGATGAAGCAGCCATAGATCTCTTCTCTCCTACTGAGAACTCATTGTTTTCTGGAATTCGTTCATTTAGTTCTTTGTTTCCTTAACTCTTTGATTTTTTTCTTAAACTTCGGTTTTGTAGTTTATATGGCTTGTTTAGTTTGTTACGTTGTGAGAAAAACTCTCTCTCTCAACTATCTATGAACAAACTGGAAGTAGAATCCAAAAGTATGTTCTTTTGTATTTGTTTTTCAGATTAATATATTTTGGTGGCTATGGGTGTAGGAGACACAATGAACTCCAAGACTGTTTTGATGTTCATGATGCATCTTGGGTAAGAGTAATCACTGTTCACATTTTCCTCTAATTTGATATTGCTTTAAAGTCTTTAGAAATAATGAGCCCAGTCTTTCTCATTTAAATTTGCCATTATTGGCACTATGAATAAAAATGAGTTTTCTCTCTTTTGGATTTGGGTTCAGTTGCAGGAGGTTCTCTCACCTAATGGTATCAGCCGTCATGGCTGCTGGCAGAGTCATTTCTTTTCTGATGTCATGAATCACTTAGAGCTCTTTCTGTTAGGCAAGTAGTGGCTGTAGCACAACTTGGAGAACCTTTGTTCATAGGTGACCACAGTGGCTGTTGCTGACATACACCTCCTTTCAGGTACGCCCACCAAAACTATTCATAGCTCAGACTGGCTTCTGTATGAGAGTAAGTCGGTAGTGATACTACTTTTTCTTCTTATTCTTACTGGTTAGAGAATAAACTATTATTAATGAAAGAAGTTATGACTTATAAAATGAAATCTTCTAAAAAATAACTTAAAAAACTATTGATCCCACCACCAGGGTATACAGTAACTCTTCAGTTTTACCTTCTACTAGCATATGATATTTTACCTTGTTAATGTACATGCATATGTACATTTTATATGTATATGGGTATTTAAAATTTTTCTGTGTGTTTACATGGTTTTTGAGTTTTTAAGCTGAAATATCTTTAAGGTTTTGCTACTTACAGTATTATTGATAATTTTAGATATATAACTTCACATTATTTATGTGAAATTAATTTTACTCATCAGTGAACTCTCTAATTTTTTTTTCTCCCCGAATACAGTTAGGCTAGTGATCATGTCCTGAAGTTTCTGGTGTACAAGTATATTTCTTCATTTATGTTCTAAACTAAGTGAATTGTTTAGTTTATTTGACTTGTTTGACAAGTCCTGACAAAAATGAATGATGTATTCCTGACATAACATAAAATTGGCCCAGAGGTAAGCTAGAGCAGTGATAGAGGATTTCAACAATGCAGAAGATGCTAAATACAGTATAACTGCTAAAATCTTTGCCTCGCCAACGATTTTGTCTTCTTGGAAGACAAAGAAGAGAGTGAGCATAAGTTTGAAGTATAAGTGCAAGCTGCTTAGTTAAGCAGAAGTGATTGAAACTTTTTGGAAAAAAGGAACTATTGTTCCCTAAAGTTTCTAATAGGAAAGATTAGGAATTCTGAGTATATACTGTAGGAAAAGAGATTTCCAGATGTAAATATCATTCTGTCCTCTGTAATTTTAAAAGAGACAGTCTTTTGAGAGAATTGAAAGATTGTCAACAAGTAAAATTATGACTCATGCAAGCAATACTATGAGAAGACAAGTTGCCAGGTGATGCTTCTAGGGTCTGGGGAACCACACTTGGTGAGCCACTTGTGTGTGCGTTAGCTGTATGGCTATGGTCACGCTTGACTATTTCTATAAAAGTGTCTATTACTTCACCAGCAAATATGCAGTGAAACTATTACACTAACATAAAGATTATAAAAGCTTTTAAAATATTTAAACTTTTTTTTTTGTTTTAGGAAGAGCAGATATTCTGGGGATGGCATAATGATGTTCATGTATTTGATACAAAGACACAGAATTGGCTTCAACCAGAAATTAAAGTAAGTATTATAAAAAGGTAACTTTATATTTGTATATTCATTGTTACTTTTAAAATCTATTGTTTTACTAGGTTATTGGAATTTAGTAATTGAGTTTGTAATCACATACAAAGGGGTTCTCTTGAGTACTGTCACTAGTACTTTTTTTTTTAAATCACATACTTTTCTCCAGGTTAATTAAAGTTTTCTAGAAAAATCTTTTAAAGAGGTGTCATCATCATTCTTTACCAACAAGTGTAATGCCCTGATTTAATGCAGGCTCTTTTAAAAAGTCCTTTTATAACAAAGTCCATGATTTTAAAAAGCCCGTGTTTCATAAACCCTTGAAATCTTAATACTGTTTCATGTGCTAGTGAGCGAACACAAATTCAAATTAGTTCAAGCAATAATGAATTCTCACAGAGCTGGAAAGTATACTTTGAAGTGGCTCATACAGTGGAAGAGCTACAGGGACCAGGGTGTAAGGAACTAGAGCAAGTTATCCAACACCATCCATATTTGCATCTCTCTTGGTCGACTTCTCTCTCCTGCTCTTTGTGTGCTAGCTTCATCCTGCCTGCTCCAGACTGGCCAGCTCATTGAGGAGGGAATGTGGCCCTGGCTACACAAGCTGTTCTTTCTGCTGGTGCTGTATTGTCTCAATATCTCTATCTTCGTCCGAGAAAGGGACGCTGGCTCTACTTGGGCCTGTTCCCACTCTTTACATCAGTCCCTGTTGCCAAGGGAATGGTTGGCCAGCCCGAGTTTCAGGCCTGTTCCTAGGGCAGCAAGGTGTTGTGACTGGTCAGCTCACCAGAACTGTGCAGAATAGAATGCTGAATAGGCAAAACCAAAATTGTCCACTAATATGCATCTATGCCCAGAATTCCTTACAGTTCAGCTTCTGCTGATGGAAGTGATGGGAGGTCCTATGCAAAATGTTACGTGTTACAAGATTTGACCACTGGCACCCTCTTTTTCCAAGCAGTGACCTTCAGGTTTCCAGTACTCTTCTGTTCTCTTCTAATTTTAGAACTGATCAACTATCAGTCAAATATATTTGTTGACTGAATGTTCCTAAAGTCAGCATGTGAATTTTTAGATGTGTGGGAAATAATGAAATGATAGCATTTTATCTCTGCTGAAATAATTTCATATCAGCAAGCAGGTGGAGAGAGATATTGTTGAGATGGGGTCTACTGAAACTCATCCTAGATCTCTGTTGGGCCTCTTAACCCTCTGCTTCCTTAGAGAGGAAGCAAGAGTCTGGAGCTCCTGCAGGCAAATCTTCAGAATGTGCTTCCTGAGACAAGTGTGGTAGCTTATTATTAGTTCTCCGAACTTCAAGTCTTACTGTGATTCCTTCTTCCTCTCCTTACCTTAATCCGCTTCCCTCCCCTCCTTCTGCTCCAACACTCTAACATGCACATGGCATTTTTGCAGTTAGTGTTTAGCAATATTTTCACTGTAATTTCTCTGATGATTTCTTCAAGTACGTTCTTACATTGTTTATATTACATCAGAAAGTTTTTCTGATGTGGTTGTAGCTAGAATCTGTTCTCTTAATTTTTTTTAGAGACATTCTTAAGTTAACTCACTGTTCCTAACTATCTGCATCAAAAGGCAAGGTAACATGGTTGAGTGTAACAGTTATTGGTCTTGAGGTTGAGGATACTGGATTGGTGTTCTAATTGTGTCATAAAAGAGCAGTGTACTTTTAGATAAAAGATACAGTGTGTCATCCGTAAAATGGGAAGTCAAAAATGTTTTCCTTCATTAGATTTTTTTTAACCCCATTGAGTCAGTATAGTAGTCATAGGGGTCTTTGAGTTATTTTCACTATTTCAAACAAGCTAAGAAGCGTTGTGCATTATTTACCCAGTTAGCCACACCAGCTAATGCAAATGTCATTATTTTGTTTTTGTTTAGATTGGTATGAACTCAGTTTATTCAGATACTTGGGTTGACCATTAAATGTATTTCATAAACAAAAAGGAGAAAGTCAATATTTATTTCATAATGAACATGTATATAGTAGAAGATTTTTTCTAAAAAATTTCAGATCAGGGATGGGATAATAAAACTTGTTTTGCTGGGAGGGTTGGAAACTGCAACACAGATGGTTCTCTCTCATTTATTTAAGTGTTATATGGCTAATATCTGAATTAGTTTTTTACCATTTGACTTCATAGTTATTCAAATAAAACTGAAAAGTCTGGGAAGTTATGATATTAGATGTGGAGTTTAAATTTCTTATGCCCACATTCAGTAGCCAGTGAACTGAAAATCTCGGGTACTTTCAGAACTTCGGTTGAAATACATACACAAAAGCACCCTCCATGACCACAGGAAAATTATGCACAGAATTCTTCCTTCAAGTCTTATGCATTCACCTACCATTTATACTTTCTGTTTTCCCACCAATCCAAAACTTCTCTGAAGAAAAGATCTGCTATATATATTCAAAGTAAAGTACAAAGAAGTATCATCAGTTAATGTGAAGAGTTTTAGTAAGAGATTAAACTCTGTTTGGCTTAAGCCAAGAGTGAAGTTCTTATTTGAAGCACCAAGAGTTTTGGGGGGCAGATTTAATTTTTAAAAAAATCTCTGAGATCATGACACTGTGTGCTGCTCACTCATAATATTAACCCTGTGTGTGTGCATGTGTGCGTTTGTGTATGTGAGAGACAGAAAGAGAAGAGAGAGGGAAAAGAAAGGGTGGGGTGGGGGAGAGAAAGAGACTGTTTTTAAATTTAATTTTTAAATCCTTATATTTTAAGTTAAAATTTATGTGAAATCTTTTTTGCTAAATAGTGTCAGGCATTTAAGAAAAATACTTTAAAAGGTGAAGATCAGGGTGAGTAAATTAATTATTGAAGAGGAGTATTTGTCTATGATTATTACTATTTAGAACAAACTTTGGCATTAGAGTTTTTCATTCAGTTACATCAGTAACGGTAACTAAGCAGTCAAGTATTTCTCATTCTGAGCGTAGGAATGTGACTTCGTTATAGATGCTTCAAGAGCCTTTGCACTGTTTTCTGATCTCTGCTTGCAGGGTGGAGTTCCACCACAGCCACGAGCCGCGCACACGTGTGCAGTTCTGGGAAACAAGGGCTATATCTTTGGCGGACGTGTTTTGGTTAGTGTTTTTTTATGGAAATGGTCTTTTCTGTGTGATACTTCCTATAAAAATTGATTTTGTGGAATAGCTGAACATTCAAATCATCTAGAGATTAAAGTGCCATTTATTAATAACTTTTTAAAATCTTCTGTTCCTCAAACAGACCATACATGAGTAATCATAGATGATTATAACCCATATTTTAATGGGGAGAATCCTTCACTTCAGTGAATTATCAGAAAAGTTTAATTTCTTATTATCTAAACCTTATTAGTTTAAACTCATTTCTTGTTTTCCCCCTTGACATGGTAATTTGGTAGCTCTATGCTAGTTTTATTAATGCTTAGCATTGTTTTCCAATATATAAACTTCTGACTTGAAGTAAAATAGAGTTAATCTATTTTTAATCTGAATTTATTTGAAAACCAAAATTTTGGCCCATGAAAGATGTAAAACAGTGACCAATTTAATACACGTTTTTGTTTTTAGCAAACTAGGATGAATGATTTGCACTATCTAAACTTAGATACCTGGACCTGGTCTGGAAGGTAAGTTCTAAATTTAAGTATATTTTAATCTACAGGCATTTCTTTCTTTTTTTAAAAACATTTTTTGGGGGGAGGTAATTAGGTTTATTTACTTTTTTATTTGTCTTTGGAGGAGGTACTTGGGATTGAACTCAGGAGCTTCTGCATGCTGAGCATGCGCTCTACCACTTGCGCTGTATCACCCCCCATAGGCATTTCTCTGTGTGTGTATGAGTGTTTGTATGTCTGCACTCACACAGGTGCACATGCATGCTGTAATCCAAATTTGGGTCTCTAGAACTGAACTAGTGTTTTTTTCCCCTTCAGATTGAATGTCTAAGCAAGGAATATGCAGATTTAAATATAGAGTTTGTTCTTTAACTATATAAAATAATGAGAGTACTAACAGTTAAAAATTGATTATGTGAAAGTACTGGTTTTATACTACATGCTCCTGAGGACAGGTCAGTAGAAGAAATGAAGGAATAGTTTAATGGGGTTGTCACAGGTGAACAGGTAATCAATCTAGTGGGTAAAAGTCAGATTTTATTGCTCATAGTATATATTTAGCAATAGAGTAAGTATATGTAGCTATCAGTTCAGCTGTTCGTGTAATGAAATGGAATCAGAGCTGTATATTATTTCCAAAGTATGAGTATTATTTAAAAATAAACCATGGTGAGTTGGGGGGGATATTTCTCAGTGGTAGAACACGTGCTTGGCATGCACGAGGTCCTGGGTTCAATCCCCAGTGCCAGTGTTAAGGGAAAAAAATTTATAAAAAAAAAACATAAACTCTTCAAAATAAATAACTAAACAAACCATGCAAGTGCTAGAAATAAATATAACACATTATCTTTAAAATTTTGGCATGGACTATGGTCTCACTGCTTAAAGGGCTAAATCTTCTCACTAAACTCACAATAAAATAATGCATATATTAAAAAATAATAATAATAAATAAAATTTTGGCATGGAGAAAGCTTTTCTAAGGATGGTATAAACCCAAAATTCATGAATGGAAAATACTTATTGAGAAGACCACTTAAGAATTAAATAGTTCTGTATAGAAAATTTTGCCACAAAAGGTAAAAAGCAAATAGGAAGATGCAAACAAAAAACAAACTAGAAGTAATATTTAGAGTCTTTCTAATAGAAAGGGCTAATATACACAAGAACTCAGAAAATCCATAAGAAAAAGACAAATAATCCAGTAAGACAGTGAAGAAAGAACATGAATGAACAACTCATAGAAGAATTGCAAATATGCAGAAATCATTTTTAAAAGATGTACAATCTCATAAATTGTTAAAGGAATAAAAACAAAAATAATAGTTTCACTTATCAGATAAAAATAATTACAAATGCCAGTATGTGCTGGGTTGTAAGAATACAATGAGTGGGAGTATAAATTGGTACAATTTGGGGGGAAAGTAATCTGGCAATATACTTAGATATAAAATGGAATTTCTACTTTGATCCAGAATCTGTCTGAAGACAAAAATTGGGCAAGTGTTTGTATGTGTGAGCATGTATGTATGTGTGTCTGCATATACAACAAAGATGTTTATTGCAACATTGTTTATAAAAGCAAACTCATGACATCAGCCTTCATATCCATAAAGGGGAGTTGTTTAAATCATGATACATTTGCCCAATGGGCTGCTGTGCTTCCATTACCAAAGGAAAACTATGCCTCATAGAAATATTCTACAGCACATTAACTGAATGAAAAAAGAACAGAACAGAATATATGGTCCCATTTATTTATTTTTAATAAATATCTTTATGTGTGCATTAAAGTTGGGAAAGATATATAATGAATTATTATTTCTTATTGCTGGAGGACAGGGTATAGAGGAATTCTCCTTTCCAAAAAATATTTTTGTGGCTGTTGAATGTTTTGTAGCTACAATGGTTCTTTTTTTTTTTTTTTTTTTTTGATCTTTTTGTTGGGGGAGGTAATTAGGTCTACCTATTTACTTTTGATGAAGGTACTGGGGATTGAACCCAGGACCCCATGCATGCTAAGCACGCACTCTACCACTGAGCTATACCCTCCTCCCACTACAATGGTTCTTATAGTCAACAAAAACAGTAAAAATATTTCCAGTTTGGAAAAAACATATTACATTTTCTACAAAGGGCCCATGTTATTCTGGAGCATCCAGAAAGCTAGAGAATGGTGTCCTCTCACCTACTAAATTAGTTAAACTTGTATGCTTATGTTTTTATTTTAAGAATATGACAGTATACTATCTGATTGAAATCTTTAGAGGTTTATCCAGGATGGCTTGCATGCTTTTTTTTTTTAACTTGATTTTTTTTTTGTTAGTTTGCATACTTACTTTTAAAACAGTTTTTTAAATAGATTTATTTATTTTATTTATTTATTGAAGGGGAGGTAATTAGGTTTCTTTATTTATTTACTTTTTTTTTAAATTTACTTTTTTTTTTTAAATTGGAGGTCCTGGGGATTGAAGCCAGGACCTCAGGCATTACTAAGCATACGCTTTACCGCTGAGCTATATACCCTCCCCCTATACTTTTATTTTGAAGTTAAAACAGCTAGCATTTTTAGGTGAAGATAATGCTGCAGGAAATTCTACAATAAATAGACCAAAGTAAAAACAACAGCAACAAAGTCCCATAATATCCTTAAAGAAGTCAACTGAAAACACAAAATTAAACATGAAACAACAGTAAAAAAAAATTATAGACATGAAAATAATTATGTTGAAAAACTGAGGACGTTTTATTGATAAACCAATACAAATGATGCTCAGTACCCATTGTGAATTAATGGGGAATTGACTTTTTAATTTCTAGTCTGTGTTCTGTGGCCAGATGGGATAGACATTAAATGGAAAGAAATTATGTAAATTCATCCATGAATTTAAGGGCGTTTTAAAAATATTCATTAGGTGGGATTAGTAAAATCAAAAATTTTTTAATGTATGCAGGGCAGTTTTTCTTTTGAGATGATCAAAAAATCTTTTATTTGACTAGCGCAGTGATTAGATTTTTATATTTTTTCCCTTGCCACAGGATTCCTATTAATGGAGAAAATCCCAAACACCGGTCATGGCATACTTTAACAGCAATAGCTGATGATACGCTTTTCCTATTTGGTGGACTAAGTGCTGACAATACTCCATTAAGTAAGTCAATCAAAGTATAGCCTATGATTGACATCTTACTCTTTTTACTGAATTACATTTGATACTTAACATGTCTTTCTTTTTCTGATTTTCTGGTTTGCCTTTATCCCCAACTATGTGCTTGCATCAGTTAGAATTAGAAGCAGATAAACAAGGTCCTACTGTATAGCACAGGGAACTATGTTCAATATCTTGTGATAACCTATTAATGAAAAAGAACCCGAAAAAGAATATGTCTGTGTGTATGTATGACCAAATCACTATGCCGTACACCAGAAACTAACACAACATTGTAAATCAACTATGCTTCAATTAAAGAAAAGAAAAGAAAAGAAAAGAAAAGAAAAGAAAAGAAAAGAAAAGAAAAGAAAAGAAGTAGAAGGCCTCTTTGCTTTTGTACCCTTGCCTCTCTAAGTCCTCCTGTTCCCTAGGTACAGGGAAAGGAGGAGTGGCTGAAGCTAGATGAATTAAAGCCCCTTTCAACTCTAGTGTTCTGTGATTGTGTTCTCCTAATTTTTGATCCAGTTGTTTACACTGTAGGCTGGAATGGGGATTAGAAAAGCAGCCTTTCCAAGAAGGCTCTGGAAATACAAGGTGGGAAGGCCAGTTGCTTCTCTTTTTGTTCCAGAACTAGAAAGGGAAGTGCTTAGATAGAGCTTTTTAACTCCTGTCACTGCTAACCCCCTTGGGTTTCGTAATGTAGTTTTTCTTTCAGCAGTAAAATTGTGTTGTCAGGATAGACAAATGACCAAGAATATCCATTTATTTTGACACATTAAATGTCTTTTAATTTAACTCAGAAATTTTCTACGGCTAGAGATATTTTCCTTAAGAAACCTTATATACCCTTAAAATGATTTATACAACTTTATATAGGATCTAAAAACAACTATTTGTTTTTCAATAAAAATTTATTGAGCATCACCGGTGGGTCTAGCAGTCTGCTAGCCAAGAAACAAACTCCAGAGGCTGGTTGGAGGAACAGCAGTCTGGTAGGAGGTGTTGGTTATTGTAGATTATTATGCTTCTCCAATTTGTGAGGGTTTTAATTCAAAGAGATTTGGAATCTAATTTAAAAACTAACATCTATACACCTTAAACTTACACAGTATTGTGCATCAATTGTATCTCAATAAAACTGGAAGGAAAAAACTAACATTTGTCTATTTTACTAGGGGTTGTTAATACCGTATCTTCATGAGCTCTACTGTTTCAAAATCCTATTTGCTGTTTCTTTGTCATTGAACCATGGAGAATTAAATGTCCTAAATCTTAGTCCAGTCAGTTCCCCCTTCAGAGATTCAGCCTAAGATATAGTCATATGGGTATTAGATGATACCAACAAATTACTTTTAGTTTTGTTGGCTGTGACAATGACATTGTGGTTATGTGACAGTGGCATAGTGGTTATATGACAAAGGCATTGTGGTATGTGATAATGGCATTGCGGTTTTGTAAAAAAAAATGTGCAAATGCACCACTGAAGTATATGTGTGGGGAAAATGATAAGACAACTAGGAATTGCTTTAGAATAATTCAGGAAGAAGAGTAACAAAAAGAGATGAATGGAACACATGGTAAAAATCATAATAGTTGTTGAATCTGGGATATGTGAAGGCTCCTTGCCATGTTCACTCTACTTTTGTATATGTTTGAGAATTTTTAAGATAAAATATGCACACACACAAAAGATAGTCATATAAATGTAGCATGATAAATTTAGGGGAAAAAATGAAAATTCTATCCCAAAGACCTAACCTTAATTTCTGAACTGTCATAATATCACAGGTGATGGTTGGATTCATAATGTCATAACAAACTGTTGGAAACAGCTTACACATTTACCTAAAACAAAACCCAGGTAAGTCTAGAAGTTGACAAATAGTAAAATAGTTAAGATTTTAAAGTATTAAAAGTATAGCACAGAATATATAGTGTTTGTCATTAAAACCAGAAACCATCAGGAAGGATATCTTTCAAATAAGCTTGATGTTATCCAAATAATTTAATTAACATTTAAATTGCATTTGTTTAGAAATGATTTATTCAGTTTCTATCCATATTTACATATTTGAAGATATTATTTAGGTAAATGTATGATCTGCATGATAAATATAAAAAGGCTAAGATATTGAAAGTATCATATAACATTAATATTTAGGATTTATCATTAAGGATTGGGTTGGCTTTAGTAGTAGTTATTTGATTTTGGAAGCGGTTTAGAACAATTTAGTGAGGAAATTGCTTTCATGTTGATCAAGTAGAGGACATAATTATTTTTCTTTATTGACTGTATGATGTATTCATTAATGTAAATGTCTTAAAAAAGAAAATATTTTAGTTATTTGTGGCATATTATAGAGTAAAAAATTGTATAAAAGTATACTATTATTAGACTGCAAAGAAGACCACATTTTTTCTAATTTGATTTTTCTAATTTGATTGAATAGTATAATAAACATATTCATAGGAAATTCAAATTCAGCACATTATAATAATTAAAGTTAGTAATTTTATTTTTTCATGCCATGTATTTCAGAATTTTTTACTATAGATTATTTATATTAATGTGAAGTCAACTTAATGATATACATTTTGGACATTTAATAAATGATGCATAACTTACTTGAGAAAAAGTCCTGAAAATATTTTTATATATCATCAGGTACATCTATATTAAATGCACAATATATTTAGAGTTTATCATAATTATGTATGTGATTCTTATACTTTCATTTGTAAAAATTCAGTGGAATGTATTATTTTAGCAATTCTGGGTCTTTTGAAATATGTTTTAATTTCGAGAGTTTTATATTAAAATACAAGAGCCAAGTGTTCTATTCCTTGCTCAGCTACCACTTAGCTTTTTGGCTTTGGGAGAGTCACTTAACAAAGTTGAGCATCAGTTTCTCCATCTGTGAAACGAGGGAGCTGGACTAGATGAGCTCTTAGTTCTCTCCCAGTTGTTTGATTGCATGGAAGCATTAATTATAGACCAAAGTGGTAGTAAGAATATGTTTACTTTCTAATGGCTCCTATTTTATATTTCAATCCTTAATAAGTAATTAGAGCAATATAACTCTTATGAATAATATGCTAGTTAGAACTGAGCTATGTAAGAGATTTCTTTGAATTCAGCTGATGTGTCATGTAAATAATATGCTTTATTAGAATGTTTAGGTAATAAGTTTAGAGCAGCTGTGAGAGGACATAAACTGTCAGTCTGTAGAAAAAACATCAGGTTGCAAGCTAGATGTCACCAAAATCAAGGCAGGAAAGGCTTTCCAGTGTTCCTCGGTGATGAAGTCCAGGCCAGAGTTTCCCTAAGGCAGATAAGACAGAGGCAGAGCTATCTTCAGGTATGAGGTGAGAAGGAGAACAGGTGGGGTACAGTTTAGTGTAAGGAGAACATATATATGTATATATATACTAATGTTTTTTATGAAAGTAAGAATTTACTTAACACCGAAATGTATTTTGTGCGAACTGTTTCAAGTTATAATTTGAAATGTAAGCTGCCCAATTCTCCTCTTGTGATTCTCCAGAAAGGTTTCTCCACTTTGGTACTGTTGACATTTTGGACCAAATTATTCTTTGTTGTTAGGAGGGTCTTATGCCTTCAGGATGTTTAGAAGTATCTTTGGCCTTTACCCAGTAGCACCAGTGCTCCTGAGCCCACTCCCCTGCCACATGCACCTGAAATTGTGACAGTCAGAAATATCGCCAGGGATTGTCAAATGTCCCCTTGGGGGCAAAATCATCCCTGGTTGAGAACCACTGACCTAGAGTGTAGCACTCTCTTCTCCAGCTCGGATGAAAAGCCATCTATATAGCCATATCTGATTGGCTATGTAGGTGGCTGTCAGCAAGGTCCCTTTTTTGTGTGTCTGTAAAAGATGTCCAATAAAGTGTTGATATATCGAGTCTTAGGCTCTGTTGGATCCCATGAGTATTGCCAAAGTTACACATGGCTTTCTCTCCAGGAAATTAAGGTATTCCTTCCCATATACGAGGGGCTTTTGTTATATTCTATCTCCTTTGCTCAGTCCCTCCTCCAGTTGCCATCCCCAACCCCACAACATAATCTGGGTGTTGATGAAAATCTGTATCCATTTATGTTCTGGCATACAAGTTGGAGAATTGGGCACAGTGTTTCCCAAACAAAATTTCTAATGACTCACTTCTATCATGGATCCCAAGTGCATTTATCATTGAATGTGTCATGATTGTTTGAAGAAACTATTTTAACAAATTGTGCATAATCCCACTGTTTGCACTTGTGGAAATTAAATAAAAAAGATTAATGTACTAAAAATGAGTCATGTGGTAATAAAAGAAGTGATAATATGTATTTGGGGAATATGTTGCAATTTGATCTATTAAGAAAAGTAATCACATACTCTCAGAGTCAAAGCAATGACTTTGTAAACCTTTTAATTTATTTTTGAAAATTCAGAAATTTCTGTGGACTTTTTTCTGAGAGTTAGAGCCCCCGAAAATGTTGAACTTTATAAAATCATAACATTGTTTTTGGTAAATAATGTGAAATTGGAGATGGATATGTGCTATCAGACCATTTCCAAAACAATGTTAGGTGCTCTATTTCTTTATGAAATAGTTTATTTGTTTATTTAGTCACTGAATAAATGATGTTGGTATTTTGTGTTTGCTTTTGTTAATCAAGTTTTTGAGCACATATGGGATGCAGAACACCATATTAAATAACACTTTAGGGAGAACGTAAAATTAGATTACCCAAATTCCAGTGGTGTGCAGGAAAAACAAAACCCAAAAAAACCCCAGTTGTAGCACTTGCTGATTTTGACCACGGCCATAATATCATTGAACATGGAGTTGGAAAGAGACAGGCACGTCAACTTTAACCAGCTGGTGGCCCCTTTCCAGCACACCACTGTGGCAATTTCTGACCTCAGGGACCTTCTAGTCTTTGTACGGACTTAGAAGACAAATTGCATCAAACCATTATAGTGGAATATGGAACAGTTTGTCTTCAAATGTGAGTTAGGAGATTATAAAATGAGCACATAAATGTGGAAAGGTGCTGAACAGAGAGGGTATCAGAGCCAATTTGAGTGGTATTTGGAACACTTCCTGGGGATTTTGAGCCTGATTTTAAGGCCCTGAGAGAATGACTTCTCATTCTAAGCCCAAGAAGCATGGTGAACAAAAGCCTAGAAAGAGACTGAAGCTTTCTCTTAGGGGACACAAAGAAGTGGACTTGGCTGAAGTAGAGGCTTTATTTGGGGAAAGGCAAAAATTAAGATTTATGGGAAAGGGGAAAGGTATAGCTCAGTGGTAGAGTGCCATGCTTAGCATGCATGTGGTCCTGGGTTCAATCCCCAGTACCTCCATCAAAAAACAAATAAATAAACCTAATTACTTCCCCAACAAAAAATTTTAAAAAAAGGTTTATGGGAAAAAGAAATAACTGTTGATCATAAATTTTAGGCTAAGAAAAGTGGCACAGATGCTTCCCGATCAGGAAATGTCCATGGTTGAAGACAGTATTTGAAAAATATTATTTATCAGCTATATGTAGCTGAAAGAGATTAGAGACAGAAAAATGAGGAACGTGTTATGGTATTCTATACCCAGGGTGATAAGTAGTGTGACAGTGTAAATGTAAAGCATATGACAGATTGGATTTGTCCAGCAGTGGGGACCAGAGAACAGGGAAGAAAGACAAATGATGGGAACAGCAACATGGCAGATAGTAATATGAAAACTGGGAAAGATGTCTGTGTCTGCAATAAGCTGATTGGTTCTTTTTAAACTAATTTTATTTCATGGTAATATCTATGAGGTCAAGAGGTTAGAAAAATGTTGGAGGATAAAATAAGAAAGGGTTATTGAGAATCATCTCTTTTATTGAAACAATGTAATTTAATGAACCCTAGAATCTAATTCTCTAGTGATTCTAGAGGAATCTTTAAAATCTTAACCTCCTTGAGGCTATGCCTCTTGCATTCAATCACACCTCTTTGGAAATAGGTTAAATTTTAGAGTGTGCACTTTAAAATTGACTTGTATGTGATGTATAGTTTCTTCCTTGATAGTATTTCACTGTTTATAATTTTCAATCATAGGTTATGGCACACAGCCTGTTTGGGAAAAGAAAATGAAGTAATGGTATTTGGTGGGAGCAAAGATGATTTACTTTCTTTGGATACAGTAAGAAAATTTCATATCTAAATGTTTCCTCTGTGTAATTGTGTTTTGTAAACTAAATGGCTGTTCAAAAAGACTACTGATATTCCCACACTGAAAAATATGGAAGGGCATGAAATGTCACATGGTTGTACAATTAATCTTCAGAATGAGTGGCTTTTGTGAAGCATTTCAAGATACTCTGGGTTTGCAAATCAAAACAGATCTACTAGCTTCATTTATCAAATTATGAAGAAGAGCTTGTAAAGAATGACTATTCTTTTTCTTTTCTCTTTGACCCTCCCCATAGTCCAGGCATTTATAATTTTGTTGAATTAAAGTATTTATAAGCAACAGTTGATTCCTAAAAAGAACATGTGCAATGTATATATAAACTACTAAGTAGCTAATAATAAGTACTCATGAAATTTGCTCCCTGACTTAGTAACTAGAACATCATAAGTGCTGGCTTCTTTCTTCAAGAGGAAACTACTTTGGAATGTTTCAAGTGTATTTTCTCTTTATTTTATGTACCTTTTGCCACTGCTTCACCCCTGTTTTACACTGAGTTTCAAGTATTCTAATTTTAAAATCAAAGGAATAAATGAGTAGCATTTGGATCATATTATTCTTTCTGTCTGGGCACGTTGGGAAATTCAGAGAGATGGCCACATTTATGCTCTGTACATGATGGGACAGGAGTTCAGGATTGGTTGCTCTGCTTTGCATAGGACACTGGGACTAGCAGGTCTCTGAGCCATCAGGGTTGGGGTACAAGGAGCCAGAGCCCACCCGTGGGTGCCTCCAATGTCCTTTTACCTCTTCAGGAGTAATTATCTCCAGAGTTGCTTCTATGAGTGGCAAACCCTGCAATAAGGTATCTTCTCTCCAGGGTGTTTGATTTATTTTAAAGTTCTGAGGGCTCCAATTTAAACATTATGTATGTATAGGGCAAACTTCAGAACTTGCTTTGGCTGAGAATTCAGTGCTTCAATAAAAGATGAAAACCACAACTTTACATCTAATTAAAAAGCAAATTTTGTGGTTTGACTTCTTTTTCTCAGCACTAAGAATCTTTAGTATACAAAATTTATCACTAAAATATGAATTCTGGTTAAAAACATGGTCATAAATTGTGAAATTCTAAAGACCTATTTGAGAGGATGAGAAAAACTTTCTGCTGACTCCACACTTTTAGATGAGAGAACCATTATTCAAAAGATCTTCTAGATCTGTGATTTTCAAATTAGGAATTCCCCAGGAATCCACCATCTGGAAAATGGAGACAGGATAAAGAGGAGAATTTAAAATGAGTCATCTTGAAGAAAAGAATTCTGCTTAAAAAACAACTTGAAAACCACTTCTGTTCTCATTCTGAAACCACTGTTCTGAGAGAAAAACATGTTTACAATTTTAAAATGTGCAGTTATAGGCTGTGGTTAGGTAAAAGTTTGGTCACTGAAAAAATGGGAACCATGTTTTCAAAGTTTGTGTAGCTAGTAGGTACGTGTGTATTTGTGTGTGTGTGTGTTTGCGGGGGTTAATAGAGATTTATTTGTTACTTTACATAATTTCTTTTGCATTTATAAAATAAAAATATTCAATTAGTAATGTATTGTTATTTTTACCAAAAGCCTTGATAACTCCTTTTCTGTGTTAACTAGGGTCACTGTAATGATTTATTGATCTTTCAAACCCAGCCTTATTCCCTACTCAGGTAAGAAAATTCATTAAAGTATATATGCTATTAATCTGTGATAATTTCTTTCTTCTTCCCTTTTGGGAAACATTTATAATATTTTTCAGGTAGCTTATGACTTGAATTTAAGTTTATATCTTCTATAGAGTATAATCAGATTTGTAACGAACCATTTACCAATAAGATTTTAAAAAACTGAAATACATAGTATAGTCACATTTTTGTTTTGTTTGTAAAACTGAACTTAGTTCATATAGGAATGTTAAACATACTATATTTCTTTGATTCTAGGCCTAGACTTTTTTCATATTTTAACCTTTCTGAAATCAGAGTGTGTCTAATAATAGACACACACATATATATGCATTTAGTTTAGTAGAATTTCTGTTTTTTAACCCTGAAGTTGTTATTAAATTGGTGGTGTGACTTACAGTGTTTTAGCTCATATACTTTTACTTTACAAGGAATATATACAAAGTTTACTGGGTGGATTGTAGACAAAGCCTCTATTTCTGCCTGTGAGAGTCGGGAGGAAGGGTTTGAGTGAAACAGAAGTTGCCTAGTGAACAAGCATGGGTATTTGTGCAGCAGGAATAACAGGGGTGAGGATGTGGGAGTAGGGCAGTTTACATGCTCTGTGTCAGGGGGTCGACTATAACTTCCAGACATTCTGCAGCTTCAGCCACTTGAAAACCATCGTACTTGCTCAAACCTGCCCTTCCTAAAGTCTCTCTCAGCCCCTCCGCCTGGTAGTGCAATGGTTCCCTAACTTGTCTGCACATCAGAATCTTACGGAGAATGTCAAAAACTATTGATTCCTGTGTTCCACCCCCACAGACCGTGATTTAATTGGCCTGGGGTATGGTCTGGACTTTAGAATTTTTGAAAGTACCGAAGGTAATTCCATTGGGCAAAGTTTAGAAATAGCTGCTATAATGATTTATCCTGCCACGTATTGTTACTTATTCTGTGAACAAACATAACTGCTTTCCCTGGGTAGACTGCAAGTTCTTTACATGGAGGGGTCAAGAAATAGAATATTTGACTGCCTGCTATGGGAGGTCACTGTGCTCTGAAATGAAAAGTCATGACCTTTCCCATAAATTGTTAATAACTTAGAAGGCAGACTTTCTAACAACTGTAATAGAAAAATAAAGTTGCTTTAAGAGGAACATATATAAAGTTCGTAAGACTACTAGAGAGGAAGGCCCTTGGTTAAGATGGCAAAGATTAGGGAGGTCTTTGCAGAGGAAGAATTTGAGATAAGAATTTACTATGAACAAGCAGTGCAGAGGTGTTACGGCAAGACATATCTACCAGCACAGTGTGTTCTGGGAACCGAATTCTTGAGTGTCCCTGGGACCTACGTATGAGGTGGGGAGTTGTAAGAAATGAGGGCAGACAAGAAATCAGATACCATGTGTCATCTAGCACCTGTGTCTCTCATGCAGAAGAGTTTACAGTATCTCCTAGGAGGTCACCAAGCTTTGAAATATTTGGAGTAGAGGGATGAGATGCTCATATTACAAGTTATAAAATTTCTTTGGCAACAGTGTGGATGGGAAATTGGAGGGATATATGACTGGTTAGAAAAGTTGGTAGGGATTATTGCAGTGGACAGACACAAAGTGAAGGTCTGATCAAGAAAGTGGCAGTGGAGCTGGAGAAGGGAGGGAGATAGAGATATTTAGGAGGTAAAATGGGCTTGGTAGTTGAATGGATGCTAAGGGAAAGAAGAAGGAAGCATTAGTGATAAAATATGGCGAAGGCATTGGGTTTGAAGGTGAGATGAGGTAGAAATGTTGAAGTTGATTTGGGGCACATTGAGCTTGAACTGCTTATGGAACCTGCGGTGGAGCTCTCCTCTAAATAGTTATATATATATATGGAGAGAGGTCCAGGCCAAACAGGAAGATTTTAGAATCACTGGAGTATGAGTGGATGTGGGTTAGCTCCGCCCAGGAACAGTTTCAAGAGTAAGGATGAAGCCAACAACAAAGCATTAAGAACTCATACATTTGCAGAGTAGGTAAAGGAGAGCGACCAGAGAAGTTGGAGGTGAAGCAGGAGCCCATGGGAGCACCGACACTGAGGGAGTAGAGAACCAGAGGTGGAGAGCCTTCTTGCTGTAAAGACGTTACCGCGTATCTGGACTGAGAAGCGCTGCAGAGCTTGGCAGTCCTAAGAAGCTGTTGGAAAAGTAAAGGTGGAGGCCAGAGTGGCTTCTGGGGACAAGCACCAAAACCAAGGAAGGAGTGAGCATATTTGTTTGTATGCTCAGGAGAAGAAGCCAATGGGAAGGAAGTTGTTGGAAACACAAGAAATGAAGGAAATGTTAGTGGAGCAGGGTCTTGAGGAGATGGATTTTAGCAAATAGGTAACGGAATTGTCCCTCGACTGGAGAAAGAATACTTTTCTTTCTTTAAAAATAGTGGGGAAAGAAGGAAGTATAGATATAAAAACATGAATTTGTTGTTTGGGGGCAGGGCATGGAGAAAGTTTTGGCTGATAGTGAGGTCATCTGATAAAAAAAGGTAGGATATGAACTTAAGAAGGGTGGTGAGGGGGGAGGGGATAGCTCAGTGGTAGAGTGTGTGCTTAGCATGCACTACGTCCTGGGTTCAATCCCCAGTACCTCCATCAAAAAATTAGTAAATAAATAAGTAAACCTAATTAACTCCCTCCTTCTTGTACCAAACAAACAAACAAAAAACCCAAACCCGCCAGAACCAAACAAAGAAGCCTGGTGAAGACTTGACATAGCTTGTGAGGCAGCCGTGAGCAGATGGCGACGAGGGCTGTGTAACATGGGAGTGCTGGGCCGCGGGAGGGCTCCGCTGAGACCGGGAGAATCAATACGCAGTGAGCCGTGTCTGCAGACGCGTGGTTTTTTCCAGCAGCACCCGGCCGGCCGCCAGGCTGCAGGTGCAGAAAGGACATGGCTGGCTGAACTGACCCACTGTTGGAGTTTAGTCAGGATGGTGGAGCAGAGGGTCAGTGGAGAAGGAGATTAAAGTTGCTGATAAGAGAATGAAGTGCACATGGATAGGAAAAGGCTTGTGCATAGTCTGGATAGGAAAGAAAGTTAAAAGCGGAGGGGTCCTAGTTGAAGAACCGGGAACAATAAAAGGAGTCATGGGGATGTAAGAATGAGAAGGATACAGGCTTATGATCCAAGAGGAGAATATGGAATTCAGGGGTGGAACAGATGCTGAAGACAGTCAAGAGACAAGACTGTTGAGTCCAGGGCCAAAGTCCTCACGACAACGACAGCGGAGAAGGAAGGGGAGGCTCATAGATGGCAGCACCGCAGGGGGAAGTGATAGCAGCCTGGAGGCCGCAGTGAGGAGTCAGGAGAAGGCGTACTGGTATTGGCTCCATGACTGTGAAAACGGAGATGAGGGTTAATGTGTCCTCTTTTCTCAATAAGACTGCACACAAAGAAATTTTCTTAGATTTCAATCAATGCAACGACAGAAAGTCAGAGGAAGCACAGGTGTTGTAGACAAAGGAGAGGTTTGGAAGGGAAGATAAGCAGTGATGGGGAAGATGAACCAGGACAGAAATGAGAGGAAGCAGATGGTGGATGAGCCTGGCTTTGAGGCGGGGGCTCAGGGCAGCAGTCAGTCAGGCTGCATAGTGTCCCCCTTGGCACCTGGTACCATGCTTCTGCAAAGGGCTATGTGCCCTTGTGATGCTGAGCATATTTTGATACTTGAATCCAGCAGGAATTTAGTGGTATTTATTGTGTGAGGCGTGTTTGCCACAACCAGTTGTCTACAGTGCAACCAGTGTGATGATTCTATTTTAAATTTAAAGTCAGAAGGCATTTAGCACTTACTGTACTGAGACACTGAAAAAAATAAAGATGAATAGGATATGACTCCTCAAAGAATTTATATAATCTAATGTACTTGTGGGAGCATGCTTATCATAACTTTGGATGGATGGATATATGTATGATTTATTCCCATAAAAATAAGATATATTTACTAACAAAATTCACACATTATGAAAAGTATGTGGTAAAAAAAAATTACCTAGGAACCATCACCCACAATGATCATTGTGTGAGTCTGACACTGTAAAAAGTTTGAAAGGTATCCTTCCAGACTTTAAAATGAAAAACATTTACCATGCTGAGAGGTCACTGGTCTTAGTGAGAGCAGTATATGTGTGTGTGTGTGTGTGTGTGTATAAAGGGTCAAATTATGCATGTTGTTTCTAATCTGCCTTTAAAACTCCTATTATGGATTATCTTTCATGTCAATATATACAATCATTCAGCATAATAGATCTATATTTCTGTTTGTAATAGCTATATAGTATTCTATTTCATATAAGTGCAATTTATTTGCTAGTCTTGATACATATTCAAGATATCTACAATTTTTGACTATTATAAAAATTATGTATGTGATACTCTCATATTTTCCTTTGGAAAACCTGCATATCTCCTCAGGAGAAATTCCTAGAAGGAATATTGATGGATCAAATCACATTTTGTTTTGTGGTAACTCTCCAGTGGCTCCTACTACCCTTAGACAAGCTGCAGATTCCTAAGTGTGGTGTCCAGGACCCCCCTCCCCTTTCTACGTCATTTCTTGCCCTGCCCCCACTCTCACACTCTGCCCTCCAGCTATATTTGAACCTCTGAATTGCAGTTTCTGTACTAAATCGTATTTCCCATCTCTAGGGCTTTGCAGCTATGGTTCCTCTGTCTGGAAAGCCTTAGTTTATTTAATTGTTCGAGACTCTCGATCTCAGCCTGGAACTTCCATCTGGAAGTTTCCCCTGACTTGCTAAAGTTGTCTTGGTTATTCTTTCTGATTCTGTAGAACCCTATACCTGTTGTGGGAATTTCATTTTATCCCCATCACAACATTTATAATACTTTATTGTTAACTGTTTATCTTCTTCACTAAATTGTAATCTCCTTGAAGGTTGAAATAGACTTTTTCTCAGTGTTGAGTTTCCTATTTTTAAGATGGTACCTAGTATGTAGGGCACACTGATAAATATTTGTGGAATCAGTTGATGAATGGTAATACAGAGTCTGTCTCCTCATCTGATTCTTCCCTCCCC